AAATGTGCTTTCCACTGACGTGCGAAGAGTAAGTGTCTGATAACCTTTTGACCCTCAAGAGGAGGGTTAAACATGGATTCCTGAACTGCCTCAATGATGTCACAGTGTTCTGATATTCATGGCACATTCATAATCTAGAAAGCCAATATGTCTGGATAGGCCAACGGGTACAGCACAGGGTTAGGGTCACAATGCACCATAAAACAGGAGTTTCAGGCGCGCAATTTGCATCAACCAATGGGATTTGGGAGGTATGCAGAATGCAGAAGGTTGCTGAAATGATGTGTACTCAACTGCATATCTGCATATCTGCACCTAACAAATGTGTCACTACGCATGACTGAAATTTCACGTTCATAACCGTAGCAACACACCTCAGATGAGCCCAGTCGCTCTGCGGCTCTTGTTACTTCTTCTGGATACTCTCCACGTTGTGCACGGGTATTGCTCTAGTGAAGATTAAACATTTATTGGCAAATGAATCGAATCAATCACTTGTTTTATTTATAGAGGAGATATATCTCTATGCTCAAGCCCAAAAATTTCATGAAATTTCCAGCACCTAATTATGTTACCACACAAATTTTGAATTTTTATGTAAAAATGATATTTTGGTTATTTCTCAACTACCAGAAAGAGTAAGGATACAAAATTTTTACCCCATGTTAAGCACAATATGGACCAAAATAGGGTGTCAGGATTTTTCTTTAATTTTCATATTTACCGAGAAAACTCGAAAAAACTGCTTAAAAATCAAGTTGTGTGTTAAAATAGAAAATTTTAGCGAATAAAGAGGCATAACTAATAAAGTATGGCACTTAATAACAATCCCTGACGCGCTTTTTTACCACAATATGTTTAATACCATTAAAACGAGTGTAAAATTAAATTAATCCGAGTTGTAATCACAGAGAAATATCCATTTATACATCGGCTACTATGTCAGAAATCGAAACGGAGAAATGAGGGTTTTTCTATTTTTCACAATGAGTGACCGCCTGTGTGCAAAATGGGTGAACGTATGTGATATATCTATTGCTAGTACTTACTGCGACATATCCATGACTAACTGACACCACTAAATTGGTAAAATGTTCCATGCACCTTGAGAAATTCTGAGAAATTACGAGGTTACCATCGCAGAACGCGCGAACTCCGCTCATCCTGACGTCACAAAGCTAATATCAACAAACGCGGGCCTTGTATGGGTGCACTACAGTAAGGTGTGTTGGGAGGTGTTAGAACTATTTTGGGCGTGGGATACTTGTTGGATCACTAGCAGATGTACATGAATGTACATGAATACATGTAATGACAGCTGTAGCAGGGTTGACGCTGAATGATACTGGCTTATTTATTACTAGTGAATATCGTGGTTGTATCATGTCTCTGACGTCATAATGACGTCAGCCGCTGCTTACTACACATGTACGTGGGCAGCAAAAACGCCTCTGACGGTTCACATGTACCGTTATATGGAGACATGAGGATACACAGGTGGCACATAGTGTAGGCCATCGCAATAAAGTTGAAACGAAAAATCGATAAAATTTCATGCACAACGTGGAGAGTATCATTAAATTCTAATCTTTTTGATTCAGCTAATCTGGAGCATGACTGAGCGATTTTTTTTACTGTTTTATAATCTCCAATTCCTAAGAATATCGTCCATATATAATCATTGTTATCTTCTAAAAAAACTACAGACCATGCCCTGCACCCGCTTGGAACGTCGCCGGCCTCGAATTTGGCACCTCCAACTGCGGAAAGCCGCTCAGACGAACATCCCGCGGTTGCGTGCGCATATTCCGCGGAACTGCGCGTCTCATTCGCGCGCAGCGCTCAGGATCAACAGCAAAGCTGTGCCACGCAATCTTGTATCATGTCTCTCTGGATCTGCAGAGGTGATAGGTTTTTTTGTATGGAAGGGTGTCAGGCTGTATAGACAATCGGTCGCACAGCCTGGTCGGGCTATGTACAGTACTGTCACTACTGACTCAGTACAGTCTAAAGTTCATCCTCAACTAACTAGTAACTTTCATGTCCAGCTCAACAATAAGAAAGGTTGTAGGCCGCTCTAACACTATTATGATATTGAATAAATACATGTTTTATTATTTACAATTACTGTTTGCATTATGTAATATGTTTACACTGTGACTGACTTAGTGTCACAGTTTTAATGTTTATGTATGTTATATTATCTAATAATTTTATGTGAATGCAATTCAGTATTGAAATTATCTTCTAAAACTACAATAGAATCTTCCCACATGTTTACCACTGTGCAAGAACTCACAAAATGTGGAGCAGGTGGGAAAGCATGAGTGCCAAATTTGCAAACTGCTCGCTTCGTTTTAAAATATATTCTTCGCACTAATACACTAATAACAAGCACCTTGGCAAAATCATAAGAAAAAGTGTATTTCAGTGGCCGTGTAGATCGAGTTAACTAGAAATTGGTATTAAAAAATCTCCACCACTGCTATTTGTTACATCATGCAATTTTTTCATCATGACTGGATTTGCCTGTGCTGAGTTGCAGGGTTTGAAACTGGGAAGTAGGGTAAATATCTTAGAATCGAGTGTGTTGCTATTACTCCCATAATAACGAGGAATTACTCCATTGCCACTGAGAGAATTTTGTCATGGTGTAATTCTTGCAAGATTCCTTGTGTAAAGTAACTTGTATGAAGTGGAAGACTTGTAATTTTAACAAGGGAACACTGGTGGTAATTGATAGAATGATCCAGGTGACTTAATACTGTATATTTGCTGTGATACTTAAAAATAATGTTTTTCAGTATATATAGCTGTAGTATATGTCGAATATCTATGTGTTATTTTATGTGATATTTATTTTGCAAGTTTATTTTTTAGCACCACAGCTCATCTATGGAGGAAATATCCAGTTTTTGGTATTTGACTACTTGTCAGAGATCACCATGTCACTACTCACAGCTGCCAAGCAAAAATCACCAGTGAGTTCTAATCTTATAATAAATATCAAATGCATTACTAGATTATATTGCAAAAATATGGATTCAAATCCCTGAAAATTTAGTTGATGTGAAATATAATCATGAAAAATTTATTTGCAGTTACGAATGATTTGCATATTTTTCTGCCTAAACACACCACTGGGCAGATTTGTAAGTAAAGTAAAATAAAAATTGTTAACTTGTATTTAATATTTAATAGGAGCTAGGCTATGCACCAGATTTTGTTCAGGTTTCCATGGCACCATATTTGAAAGACATCAAAGCTAAAGGTAACAGTGGCTATTATTATAAGTTAATAAGTCTTAGTTATAAATTACCTATATTCTAAAAAAAATCCCTGCCATAAAAGGTCAAGTGATACTAAATAAAATTGTAACTTAATAGGATGACGGTTTAATTCTAGTTAAACGGTGCATTGTTAGAATTCAATTATATTTACTACAGAGTCAAGGTGATTGCCTCCTTTTCAAGGCCCCTTTTTTAGCTCATCTGACGTAGTCAGATGCAGCTTGTAGAATCGCAATTCGAACAAATATCTCAGCCTTACACTTTCGCACCACCTAATCTCTATGCATTGCCAGACAGCATGTGCTTGCAGGGTTGGCAGGCAACATTATGATTAGAAGCATGCCAGGCCATGGGCTGCCGCGGTCTTTTTCTTTGCCTACCACGCGAGCATTCACTGATTCAGCTCTGTCGGGTGCTATAGAACAGACTGCTTTAAGAAATAATATGATTTAAGGAGCGTAACTCGTTTCAACAACATTTTGCCTTTGCAATTGTAAACTGTGCAACTGTAGCCCCATTCCACAAGATATGGGCTCTAATAATAGCAAAGGCAGTTCAGTCTTTGTTACGTCACAAATCAATGTTTAACCTCCTCTTTGAGGGTCAAAGGTTATGCGACACTTACTCTTCGCATGTCAGGCGAAGTACATTTCATGGTCCTTTCAATAAAGCCATAAAATGGTAGGTCACCGCTGAAACAAAAAGTTTTTCAATCGTCCGCCGTCAGACCATGTCTCAAAAATGTCTAAATCTGCCTGTGCCCTTGAACCTTTGACCTGTGACCTCCATTTCGGCACAGTGTGGGTTTTCCTACCATGATGCTATCACCAACTATCACAGCCTAGGTCGAGTCGTTTAGATTTGTGCCGCAATTCTGCATTTCCTCCCTATACCTTAAGTTAAGGAGGGAATGTTCCCCTTCTTTTACACCTCTTGACCTTTGACCTCCGCTTCGACATCCCAACTCGTTTTCGGATTACCCCCCCCCCCCCGTCCGCGACTTTCGAATCGTACGTCGAGCGTTTAGATTTGTGTCCCAACTGTTGACGGACGCACGACGGACGATCATGCGATTCTACAAGCTGCATCTGAACTACATCAGATGAGCTAAACAAGTGCGCCCAGAGCGACCGCGCTCATCTAACGTCTACTGCGTGACTCTGTGGTGGAGTGGTGGATTCTAGTAAACCCTGTTAGTCCCAAATGTGTTCACATACACGCCGCCAGAACAGTGGAATGCACAGGGATGGTATCAGGAACCTTCTCAAAGAATGTTCGTTGGATCGTTATGAAGTTGCCACGAGATGGCGCGTACGTTTAAGTGTCTTCAGATTAAGATGGAAGTCCCTCATACGTTAGTAGCAACAACTATCTGCAGACAGAATAGGTAAGGCACTCATCCATTTACCTACGCAAGCTATCAGCTGCGCATAGAGAGCTGCCACTGTAACAAATTAAGGCAAAAACTCCACAGTACCAACAACACTTGCACTGGCAGTAGCCACTGGCAGTGGCATACGTTACATGTAACATCGTGACAGTAACGATGCCATATAAATTATACGATTTAAGGTAGCATAAACCTTCTTTAACCAAATTTAGCTTTTGAAATTTCACTGTGACATTGTAGCCTCATACATCCAGGCATGTATAGATTCTACTAGCAAACCCGCAGTCAAATTCTTTCTAACAGACAGTCAACAAATTCCATGTTTAACCCTCCTCTTGAGGTCAAAAGGTTATCTGACACTTACTCTTCCCATGTCAGCAGAAAGTAGATTTCATGGTCTTTCAATAATGCATAAAATGCTAGGTCACCGTGAAACAAAAAAGTTTTGCCATCGCTCCGTCAGACATGTCCTCAGAAAATGTCTAAATCTGCCCTGTGCCCATTGACCTGTTGACCTCAATTTCGGCACAGTGAATGCTTTTCCTACCATGATGCTATACACCGACTATCACGAGCCTAGGTCGAGCCGTTTAGATTTGTGCCGCAATTCTGCATTTCCTCCCTATACCTTAAGTTAGGAGAAAATGTTCCCTTCTTTTACACTCTTGACTTTGACCTTTGACCCCAGCTTCGACAGCCCAACTCGTTTGACGATCCCCCCAATGTGCCGAATATCGCGACCGTAGTCGAGCGGTTAAGATTTGTGCCACTGTTGACGGACGCTCGGACGACGGAGGACGGACGGACGATCGTGCGATTCTACAAGCTGATCATCTGACTATGTCAGATGAGCTAAAAGGGGCCTTGAAAGGGGGCAATCACCTCGACTCTGTAGCAATATAATTGATTCTGACAATGCAGCCGTTTAACTAGAATTAACCGTCATCCTATTAAGTTACATTTTATTTAGTATCACTTGACCTTTTATGGCAGGGATTTTTTTAGAATATAGGTAATTTATAACTAGATTTATTAACTTATAATATAGCCACTGTTACCTTTAGCTTTTGATGTCTTTCAAATTGGTGTGCCATGGAACCCTGAACAAAATTGGTGCATAGCCTAGCTCTCTATTAAATATTAATACAAGTTAAACAATTTTTATTTTTACTTTAACTTACAATTGCCCAGTGGTGTGTTTAGAGCAGAAAATATGCAAATCATTCGTAACTGCAAATAATTTTTTCTGATTATATTTCCATCAACTAAATTTTCAGGGATTTGAATCATATTTTTGCAATATAATCTAGTAATGCTTTGACATTTATTATAAGATTAGAATCACTGGTGATTTTTGCTTGGCAGCTGTGAGTAGTGACATGGTGATCTCTGACAAGTAGTCAAATACCAAAACTGGATATTTCCTCCATAGATGAGCTGTGGCTGCTAAAAAATAACTTGCAAAATAAATATTCACATAAAATAACACATAGATATTCGACATAATACTACGCTTATATAGCTGAAAACATTCTTTTTAAGTATCACAGCAAATAAACAGTATTCAGTCACCTGGATCATTCTATCAGTTAGCGCAGTGTTCCCTTGTTTTAAATTACAGTCTTCCACTTCATAAAGTTACTTTACACAGGGAATCTTGCAAGAATTACACCATGACAAATTCTCTCAGTTGGCAATGGAGTAATTCCTGCGTTATTATGGGAGTAATAGCAACACACTCTATTCTAAGATATTTACCTACTTCCAGTTTCAAACCCTGCAACTCAGGCACAGGCAATCCAGTCAATGAAAAATTGAAAAATTGCATGATGTAACAATAGCAGTGGTGGAGATTTTTTAATACCAATTTTCTAGTTAACTCGGATCTACACGGCCATGAAATACATTTTTTCTTATGATTTTGCCAAGGTGCTTGTTATTATGTATTAGTGCGAAGAATATATTTTAAAACGAAGCGAGCAGGTTTGCAAATTTGACACTCATGCTCTTCCCCACCTGTTCCACATTTTGTGAGTTCTTGCCCGTGGTCAACATGTGGAGCAGATTCTATTGTAGTTTCTAGAGATAATTTCGAATACTGAATTGCATTCACATAAAATTTATAGATATATATACATAAACATTAAAACTGTGAGCACTAAGTCAGTCACAGTGTAAACATATACATATGCAAACCTATATTGTTAAATATAAACACAGATGTATTTATTCCAATGATCAATAATTAGTAGTGTAGAGCGGCCTAGCAACCTTTTTTTATTGTTGAGCTGGATGAAAGTTACTGTGTAGTTGAAGGCTGACAATTTGCCTGTACTGAGTCAGTAAGTGGACAGTACTGTTACATAGCCGGGCTAGTTGGCGACGATTGTCTATACAGCCTGCCACCTTCCCATATGAAAAAAACTAATCACCTCTGCAGATCAGAGAGCTGATGACAAGATGCGTGAGCAGCTTTTGGCTGTTGAGTCCTGGAGCGCTGGCGCGGCGAATGAGGCGCGCGTTCCGTGGAATATGCGACGCAGACCGCGGAGATGTTCTAGTCTGAGCGGCTTTCGCGCAGTGGAGAGCGTGCGCAAATTCGAGGCCCGGCGAGCGTCTCCAAGCGGGTGCAGGGCATGGTCTGTAGTTTTTTAGAAGGATAACAATGATTATATATGGACCATATTCTTGGGAATTGGAGATTATATAAAAGTAACAAAAATCGCCTCAGTCTGCATCCAGATTAGGCTGAATCAAAAGATTGAGAATTTTAGGATACTCATCCAGTTGTGCATGAAATTTTATCGATTTTTCGTTTTCAACTTTTATTGGATGGCTATCACTATGTGCCACCTGTGCTATCTCATGTCTCCATATTTTACGCGTACATGTGAACCGTCAGGGCGTTTTTGCTGCCCACGTACATGTGTAGTAACAGCGCGTGACGTGCATTCATGACGTCAGAGACATGATACACCCGATATCACTGTAATTAATAAGCCGAGTATCATCAGCGTCAACCCTGCTACAGTGTCATTAATGTATTACATGTAATTCATGTACATCTGCTAGTGATCCAAACAGTTAATCCCGCCAAAATAGTTCTAACACTCGCGCAACCCTTATCTGTGTTTTGCGCCGGGTACAGTGCGGCGGTTTTTGATGATTAGGCTTTGTGACGTCAGGTGAGCGGAGTTCGCGGTTCTGCCGATGCCGTAACTCGATAATTTCTCAGAATTGCTTCAAGTGCTGCGAACATTTTTACCAATTTTAGTGGCGTGAGTTAGTTCATGTGATTGTGCCCATAAGTAAGCAATAGATATTCACATACGTTCACCATTTTGCCACAGGGCGGTCCACTCATTGTGAAATAGAAAAACCCTATTTCCCGTTTCGATTTCGACATAGTAGCCGATGTATAGATGATATTGTCTCTGTGATAAACCACTGGCATTAATTTAATTTTACACTCGTTTTTAGGTATAAACATTTGTGGTGAAAAAAGCGCGTTCAGGGTTGTTATTAAGTGGCCGATACTTTATAGTAATGCCTCTTATTCGTAAAATTTTCGATTTTAATACAAACTTGATTTTTAAGCAGTTTTTTCGAGTTTTCTCCGGTTATAAGAATTAAAGGAAATCCTGAGCCACTATTGTGGTCCATATTGTGCTTGACATGTGGCAAAATTTGTATGCGCTCACATCTTTTCTGTAGTTGAGAATGATACCAAATAGTCTTTTTACATAAAATTCAAATTTTGTGTGTAACATAATTAGGTGCTGGAAATTTCGATGAATTTTTGGGCTTGGCGTAGATATATCTCCTCTATAATTAAAAAGTGTTGATTCTGATTATTTGCTAATAATGTTTATCTTACCTAGAGCAATACCCGTGCACAGTGGAGGTATCAGAAAGTAACAAGAGCCGCAGAGCGACTGGGCTCATCTAAAGTGTGTTGCTCGGTTATGAACGTAAATTTCAGTCATGCGTAGATGACAGATTTGTTAGGCGCAGATATGCAGATACGCAGTTGGTACACTCAGTTTCAGCAAACCTTAGCATTCTGATACCTCTCCAATCCTTTGGTGATGGCAATTGCGTGCTCTGAACTCCTGTTTTATGGTGCATTGTGCCTACCTGTGCTGTGCCCGTTGGCCTCTCAGACTATTCTTCTAGATTTGAATTGCATGATATTCAGAAACTGTGCATCATTGAGCAGTTAGGATTCATTTTAACCGCTTCTTGAGGGTAAAACGGTTTCAGACACTTACTCTTGTAGTCAGCTGGAAGCAAGCTTTAATGGTCATTTCTGCATAACAAAGTGTAGGTCAACTCCGTCAGAACAATGTCTCAGGAATGTAAAAACATTTTCGTTAAAAACCTGTAGATGACGTGTTTCTTCGGATGTAGGGGTGGTTTTTACATGAGGACGCAGATGTTTACTTTCCCTTGTTCGATCCATTGCGGATTTTAGTCAGCAGTCGGATGATACAACATGGTGGCGAAATTATAAATTTGTGAATTTGTGACTAGCGGGGAGGTAGTGATTCACTAGGGGACGGCTATGATTGGTGGTTTTGTCTTCTTAGTTTATTTTATTTTTTTAGTTATTTGCGGCTAATTATTGTTTATTTTAGATTAGGGACAGGGTTAGGGTTACGGGTTAACTGATTTCCTATATCAAAACTTATTGTCGTATATTCATATTCTCTCGCTGAGACGCTGACTAATAAATTGTGGTTGCATTCTCAAAAAAGTGTGTAAACTGTAAGTACCGGTACCCTCAGCGCATCCGTAGCGATCGAGTGATGACTTACAAAAACGTGGCTGTCCGATATCATGTGTATAATCAATGTGAAGTGGTTATGCTTTGGCGATACTTGGCAATAAGACACTACGTGATTTAGCATGAGCAATGTTTGGAAAGGTACGCTCACCCTAGCAGAACGTTTCTTGGCTTACAGTTCCAGTATACATACAGTATTCTGAGTACCATATAATAAGTGCCTGTTACTGTACTGCTGTAGTCCTGTACAGTCAGTTGCCCGCACGGCGCCCCTAAATACCTGAAACGCAGTGTCACGACCCAAAAGCCTGACGGAGCCAACCTATTCTGACCGCTTTTAGCCAGTAATGTTGTGGTTAGAATTAATGAACGTTGTGTTTGCACGTCATTGCTTTATTATTGGTGTAGCTAGTGACTGTTGTTTTTAAAGCGTTATGCGAATCCTAAGAATAATGCACAGGAGCATGTTTAAATAGGCCTACGTCGCTACTGGTTCGTGCGCGTTATTTTATTTTGAAGATCATTTCAAGTTATATCAACGCGCAAACGATCGTATAATTAATATTAAAGATTATAAAATCGCTTTTACTAAGTATAATAAATTTGGAGGTGAGCGGCGATTCAAATAATAATAATGTCAGGATATAGAGAGGGATGTCACCCGTGCAATAGGAACGACCAAGTTGGCAGCGTGAGAACTATATATAGAGAAGTGAAACGCCACGTGAGGCGCCATGTTTATGCGTAGAGAGACGCGCCGGTTGGTGGATGCTATGTACAGCAGGGAAGTATTTCGGCGTGATATTTTTAACGAAGAACCTAACTAATATCCATGCCTTTAAAACTATGTGCATCGAGTTAGGTCTCTTAGCATGTGTTGAATTAACGATAATAAGCAAGATAATTGCGTAATTACATATAATGACAAAGGATAAGTGAAATCATTGGTCGGTTGTCTAGAGTGTCGAACA